ATGTCTTATTTGATGGGTTTAATGTTATTTTTTTGAGGGCGTTACATGGACTTTACCTTTTGGAGGGAAAATTAATTGGCTACTAAAGTATTTAGTTGGAAAAAAAGCCTTTATTTGTTATTGGCGACTAAAATTGTTAGCCAAGAAAGAAAATAAACTAGGGTTTAAAAAATACACTCCCATACGCTCTAACTCGCTCATACATCTGTCAGTCTCTCACTCTGTGACTCTCTCTTTCTCTCTCATGCCTTTGCTCTCTCTCTCTCTCTCTCTCGCTTTTGTCTCCATCGTCGTCGGGTATAGGAACATCACTGCCATCACACACGAGCACCACCGTCAATCCACCATTGAAGCATTACCCAGGTATGTCCTCTCTATTTTGCCCTCTCTCTGTCTTTCAATCTCTCTTCCCCTAATTTCAGCCTCTAGGGTTTTCTTCTTCCATTTGCATACCTTAACACAAACCCAACCCCAAATCGACCCACCCATCACACAAGCCAACCCCTAATTTCAGCCTCTAATTTCAGTCTCTCTAACTCTCTTATACGTTTGTTTGTTCTCTCTATTTTGTTTGTTGCCAATTTTTTTGTGTTGAGGGATTATTGGCATTACGAATAGAATTCATGGATTTTTGATAATGAAAAATGGGAACTGTTGAATCTCTAGGTAATCAATGTGAAGCCATTTTGGACAGCCTGAGGGCATTTGTTTTGATATTCATGTGGGGTTTTTTTTTTGGGGGGCAAAATTTATAATGTGAGTGGTCTTTGAGATTGTACTTAAATTTTTAAGCTACTTTTAAAAGATTGGGGTTTGTGAGGGGACGATTAGAAATTTCAGTAGTAGCATTGTAGATATTGGAGAAACCTTCAAATTCTAGTTTCAAAACTTGTTTTAGACATGAAGTTGGGGTTATTTTCCTTGTTATTGGGGGTCATGGGGAATAATAAGGTGCAAAGCAAATTCCATAGTTGTTGGATTTTCTTTACTGCATAAAACCTTGCATTCTTTAGGGAAGGGGAATGTCGACAGTAGAGAAAGGGTGCATGTCATTATGAGGGGGGAGGGTTTTATCGAGGCAATGTTTGCTTTTACTGAATAGTTCTCAAATGGATATGAACTTTGATTTGTCCCCTACAAATATCTCCCACATGTGTAGTACGATTTTTGCTTGGATTCCAATAGGACAACAATAGTTATTCACTTGTCTAACAGAAGGTTGTAGTGAATTGGATTCATGGTTGTTGATTTGTTCTTTTCATACATTTGTTCTTTCCCATGAATTTGTTTTTCTTGTTACATCTTTCGGCCTCCAACTGTTTGATGCAATGCCCGAATCAAAAAATTTATCTTTCTTTGCTCATCTTCTTCTTCTTCTTTTGTTGTATTCTGAAGTGACATATTGGTTTGGGTTTTAATATTTAATAAATTTATTTGTTATTCCTCTAGACCCAAGAAAGAATATCATGAAACAAGAGAGAAGAACTCATACACATTGATTGTGTATTTATTTGCATGTATGGCTACTAAAATATGATTGTAAAGCAAAGTTCTGATCATTTTCTTCCACTCCTGTCTGAAGGAAAAAAAAAGAAGCAAATTAATATGAGAACAACTTATACACAGAGAGAAATATGCTTAGAATTTTACCTAGTCTCAATGCTAGATATACAAATTTGTATGTGAAGAATTTTGATCTAGATGTCACAGAAGAACTTCTTGAGAAGTTCTCTGAGTTTGGTAAAATTCTCAGCTTAATTATCTCAAAGGATGAGTATGGGGCCTCTAGAGGTTTTGTATTTGTGAATTTTGACAGCGCAGATGATGCCATGAGAGCAATAGAAGCTATGAATAGATCACAACTTGGTAGGTTATGTTTTCTTAATGAAATTAATTTGCTTAAAAGATCAGAGTTACTCAGTTTTCAATGGCATGTTTTAAGTAGGTTCCAAGGTTATCTATGTTGCTAGAGCACATAAAAAAGAATAACGCGAGCAGATTTTATGTTGCCAGTTTGAGGAGAAACGAAAGGAGCAAATAATGAAATACCAAGTATCCTTGCAGCTTATTTCTCTCATTGGGAGGGATTATGTACTTTTATTTTAATTTTTCTTTTGGGGGTAAAATTTTATTGTCCACTTTTTAATTGTAGGGTTCAAATGTCTATGTCAAGAATTTTTATGATGATGTCATTGATGATGAGCTGCGAGAACACTTCAGCCAGTGTAGCACGATCACCTCTACAAAACTAATGCAAGATGAAAAAGGAACCAGCAAGGGGTTTGGGTTTGTCTGCTTCTCAACACCTGAGGAGGCCAATAAAGCTGTGAACAATTTTCATGGTGAGCACTATGAATATATAAGCTTATGGATGTGATGTAGATGTCGTTGAATTAAGATGCATTAACATTCTTCGAGTTGGTCATGCAAATTGGTTGATATGTTTTGATCTGAAAGAAGTTATTATGCTAATGTTTAATTTTATATAATGGAATAATATAAATTGCCATTTGAATAGTATACATGACTGTGGATAATGGAATAGTGTATCATTAACACAACTAGGTTTTCGTTCCTAATTTCGAATTTGATAACAATTTAATCTTTTTATTTTGGAAAAGAAGGATTCCTTAGAAGAAAATTTCTCTCTGTGTATGAGTAGAAAATTCCTTGAAAGTTAAGATTTAGTGTACCCTCGTTATGATTTTACAAGTGAAATGGTTGTTGGCTTAGATCATTATTGGCTTTAGTTCAATAAATTTGCTATAATATGATGCATATTTGTGTGATCTATCAATGATGTATTCTCATTTACTAAATAGTCAATACTTGAAGAAAATCTATTTGCATCTTTTTTGATGTTACGGGGGCGAAAATGCGAAACAACCCCCCAACCACTGATTTGACTTTACGGGAAGCTTCCCGGTGCCAAATGTGACCTGTAGGGATAGACGATACGTAAGTAGAACACGTAGGTTGGGAGATAGAGTTGAAAATGTCATAAACTTAGTTGAAAACAACGTTTTAGTCGCCAAAAATGGAAAAATACTTGGATGGTTACCATGTGATGCTTTGTTTTCATTAGAGTAATCGGTAATTTATACATTTAGGAGGGTAGAATAAGTTAGTGCACTTCAGAGCTGGGAAATGACTAGAGCTAGGATTTAAGGTGATACATGTTGCTGAAATTTCATAAAATTTATTGTTGGTATTTATGAACCCAATTTTATATGGATGGTTGATGTTTAGAAAAAAAGCTTGTCGGGTTAAGATCAGTGAATTTGGTGATTTAGAATTTTTTTTTTTATTTTTAAAATACAACCTTCACAATCTCTTTAAAAATTCAATGAGCCCTCAAAATTTGACTCCGTTCAATTTGGATGATGACACCAAATAGTGTTAGGTTTTTATTCTTGGTAATCTCGTTTGACAAAACTCCTTTCAGTTGTACTTTTATTCGCTCTTTTATTTCAGTGAGGCTATGAGTTTTAGATGCGAATCCAACCTGAATTGTGCCTTGCAGAGAAGTTTCAGAAGATAATTCTTTCATGTTTGCCACTTTGCTGACTATGTCGGGGATCAAGCCGCCCAGTCAGTTTGCGGGGGTCCAGGGGGTAATGACCCTTGGCGGGTTCAGGGCAGCGCTCCAGAAGCAAAATGCAAAAATGCATTCGAAGTTAAATGTCCGCTCGAGCAGACATTCCTCCGCTCGAGTGGAGAATCCTTGGTTCTAGAAGTTTGATCGCCTGCAAAAATACTGGGAGATGTTTTTTCCCGCTCGAGCAGAATTTCCTACGCTCGAGCGTCGATCTGCTCGAGCGGCCATTCTGATGCTCGAGCGGAGATCGCGGAACAGATTGCTATAAATATGTGTTTTAGTTAGATTTTAGGGTTACGCTTCCAGATCTTCTTCTTGGATATTAGGGTTTATATCTAGGGCTATTTTGCTAGTTTTCTTTGATGTTTGATTGAGTATTGTACTCATGGTTTAAGAAGTACACATCAAAGGATTGTTTGTTTATTCAATACAAAAGAGAGTGTTGTTCTTCGGTGGATTTCGTGGAATTCGAGCCTGAAGCTTTGGTGGATTCTAGAGTGGTTCATCGTTGCGGATTCGACATCGGCATTGTGGATTCAACGTTGGGCAAGACAATTCCAAGTGAAGACGAGGCTGGAAGAGGCACGTAAGGGTCGGTTCGATTCGGGCGTGGATTCGCTAGGTAATTGAGAGTATACTTGTGTAATTCCTTTATGTCTTCTTAGTGGATTTTTTTGTGGCTCTTGCCCGTGGTTTTTATCACAATTGGAGGAGCTCCAATTGTGGTTTTTTCACGTAAAATCGTTGTGTCGGTTTGTCTTGATTGTTTGATTGTGATTGTTATTTACTGTTTAAAATTGATACATAATCACAAATCAGCATCTAGGGGATTTCTAGATTTTTCACATATAATATTTCATTACAGAGTTATTTGTCACCACACCAATTTCAGTTATTATTCTAAAGAATAATTAGAATTCCTCATATGTCAAAACACATAAGTTCACATTTTTATCAATACTTTGATAAATAATTGGCATCCATTGATAACACACCAAATACCAAATCGATATATCAAATATATCAATTAATGAAATTGTAAACATTAATTATCAACTCTATAACATATGTAGGCATGGACACAAATAAATTAAAATTTTCAACACTGGAAAACCAGTCAAAACGGTTAAATACAGTGTCTAAAAACAATTCCAGAACGGAAAATCAGAAAACAACTTTAAACACAAATTTTCAAAACTAGAAATACAAAAAAACAATTTAAATTTCAGAACTAAAAAAATCAGAAAAATAAACTGGTCAAAACCAGTTTAACAATTAAAGTCATAACCTGATTTTAAAAAACACAGTCTTGAAAACATCCACAAAATATTTTTCAAAAAATTTGTGCCTTTTCTTAAGAGGAACTTGAGACACTAACTTATAAACAAATATACATAATTGAAATTCTAACAATTATAAAATTTAAATACATAATACTCATCAAATAAAGGAATAATCAGATTAATTCAGTGACCAATCAAAATCTATGATTGGCGATTATCAAAGAATGAGAGAGAGAGAGAGACCTGCAACGAACAATTTGGTGCAAGAATGGCGTAATGTCAGCCATCTGGTGAAGGGGGACGAAGAAGAGAGTCGAAGACCACCACTCCCACACTGCATCTGACTTAACGTGCACTCTCATTGCCCTTCGTACAACGCATAATAGCAAATGGCACAAATATTCAGAAGGGCCAAACAAGAGAACTTCCCTGGTAAACTAATCTTGGTCTGGGTGAACTCATCATCATGACTTCCCATTTTTAAGTGATTTTAATTCTAAAGAAAAATATGATAGGTCCAAGCACCAATTCTAGTGCAACATTAAAGATACCATTTGGCATCTTTCGACATTCGCACATGGCAACTGTCATCTTCTTATGACCACAAATTGAAAATTATACCCCAAACACATCCAACTCTACCAATGGATTGATGTTAACACAATATTAGTTAATGTCGGGAAACTGTTCTAGCAATGCAACGCCACTGTCTTTTCTAAATAGTTTGTCAAATTCACATGAAAAATCAAAATTATATTTTCCCCAAAACCATAAATAGGATCGGATCTGTCTTAAGATTGTTAGTAAAATATTACCAAACTATATGGAAAATATAATTTAAAAATATGTAAACGGTTTTTGGGAAAAACCAAAACTAAAATAAATTGACAAAATAATGTAACAAAACTTACAGTATATAAATAGATAAAACCTGATCGAGTCGAGTGTGTGACACACTTTCCTTAAGACAGATTTGTTCTCCCACCAATGCTTAGGATTCAATGGACGTCTATCTCCCAAGATACAACGATCAATATCTTGCACTAGCAGCACTACTATTGCAAGCCTAGCGAACTTCGCTGTGCATATACTCTCTTTATAGGAAATTAAGACTCAGGAAATATGAAGAATAAATGCAAAGTGAAGAAGAAATGGCAATTCTCCCTTCCAAATTAAAGTGAGGGAGATAGAATTTATAGATTCATCCATGACTCTTTAGAAATGTTGTAACCCTTCAAAAGAGCACACCATTCTATCTCAAGAGACACAACCATTGGAGTAAATTTTAATTCAAATTTTCCAATAGAGTATGCATGGTAGAGAAGAATTATTGGTGATTATGGTTGCAATCAAAATATCTATGTCCGTTCTGTACTAAGGAATTTCATCGGATTTTGTTTTCTTCAATAAAGACCATAAAATTGAAGTACAAAAAATGGGTATCAATTTTTTTTATTTTTTATTGTCATTTTATTTTATAGAAAATGTGAAAATTTATTGAGAATTCAATATTTTACTATAACATTAGATTTTTGTATAAGTAGGTAAATTTAAAACTTTTAAATATCATTGTGTTTCTTTATTTTTATCCTCTTTCAATCCCAATATACCATTTCTGCTATTTGTTAGTTTGTCAATTATAATTTAATTAATTAAAAATGAAAACTTAATATAACTTTTTATATATATTCTAGTTAATTTGTTACAGCTATAGTTGTATATAATAACATAATATATAAGGATAATCTCTAAATATAATTTTTATTTTTTTTATGTGATTAAATAGTCCTTCTTAAATAGTATACAAAAGAGTTAGATGACTTATTCTATCTCTAAAAACCCAATTTTTTTTATTTTTTATTTTTTACTTTTTAATTTTTTTTTTAAAATTGAAACATAAATTGTTTATGTCCATAAAAAAAAACTGATAAACACATATCTAAAAGCTACATATATTTTTTTCTTTTTTAATATGTAGGATATTTATAAATGGAAAATGTTTGACACCTCAAATTTTTTTTCCCCATAATCTGACTTATAATAATGTAGTGATAAGTGTCAATTTTTCTACAAATATAAGAAGAGAATTAATTAAATTATATATTTCAACCAACCACATACTCAAACTTTGACTATTTCAAGATGTTATTTCACTATAATTCTAATTAAGAAAATCTTCAACCCTTAATATTTTTTTTATCAAGTTATAATTTGACAAAAATTTAAAAAATGTTGAAAATTGTTGTTTTTTCCATCAAAATTGGTGAAAAGAAAAAAAATTGGGATAAGAATGAAAGTTCTTTTAAAAATTGATAAAAATTTAATGAAAAAGTTGAAGTAATTCATATCAAATCAAAAATTTTATTCAATTTTAAAATAAAATTAGATAAAAAAAATTAAAAGAAAATGTTGAAAGTTTGTTGGATTAATAATAGAAACTTCATATTAATTACTGTTAAATAACACTTCACTTGACATTTAATAATAAAATTATATATTTGTCTTAATTATAACTTTTAAATTTGTATATTTTCATAACAAAAAAGTGGTATGCCATAAGTCATTCAATCTTATTTAATTAGGTTTAATTTTTTTAATACAAATTATCAAAATTGCACTAAATAGATTTATATATTAAT